TGTATACTTGCTATAAATGAAGAATTGGATATTGAAATTGAAAGGTTATGTAGGAGTACAAAGGACCTAGAAGAGTAAAAAGAAAAAAAAAGAACAGTGTTGGAAGACATTTAGTACCTAATTTTAAGACTTCTTCTAAAACTACAGTAATCAAGGCAGGGTTGGTGTAAGGAAAGACATATAGATCATTGGAATGGGGTTTCTTACCTGCTGGAGTGACTGATGATCATACCTAAGGCATCTGAAGGTTTGATGGTTCTATCCAAAGGGCTTGCAATCTGCCCTTGGTAGGTTGTGTTCAACTCTGCTGCCATTAGGGGAAGCAGCCCTGTCACTGGACAGTCAGGATCAACCGCTCCCATCTACACGATAATCCATTTTTGCTGCTTGTTCAGTAGCAGAGAGAAGACAGAGAAAGCTAGGTGGGAGTCTTATTATCTAGTTCAACAGAATTATGTTTCAGTCCTTTAGTGCAATATTTGTTTAAAAACTAAGGCTATAGATATGAAGGTAGGGCAGTAAAATTTCCTTGGGTTGATCATTTATCATAATCTCAGAATTGTTATTGATACTTCTATTCTTGGTTCTTGAGTTGATGCATTCTGGCTATGGAAAAAAACAGAATCATGTGTTTTCCTGTAGCATAAATCACCTGAAGATGATGTTTTCACCTGAAACCACCCAAGAGAATGTTCTGTATCCTGCAGAACACCCACAAACTCACAAGATATTATCTTCAACAGGTGAATGACAGATTGAAACTGGCCATTCCCCCATGTTTTAGCAGAGGTGCTTCTGGGCTACATCAAATTACTCTGCTCTTCTCTCACTGTAAAACAAGAGTGGTATTGGGTGGGCTGCCGATGCCACAGAGGGGCATTCTGGATTCGCACAGCCCATGACACTAGCAGAAGATGATGAGTGGAAAATGTACATCCAGACCAAGTGTGCATCTGTTCCAGTGTGAACAGATTGCTGCCTTTGGGAACAGCCAGGCAGGCGTAGGACGTGGCACACCAGTGGTGGCTGTAGCCACAAATTACTCAGTTCTCCACCAGGGATACACATGCATTTGTATTCATTCATATCGCCCGATTTGCTAGTGCACAGTCACTTTGATAAGTGGGTACAGATTCATTTCAGCAAGATGAAAATGTGAGTATCTATCTATATGAAAATCTACTGTGATGTTTAAATTAAAAATCTACAGTAAAATTTACGGTAAAAAGACACATTGCTATACACATTCCCATAATCCCCCATCATCCTCCCTCTCTCTTCAAACACACTTATCCCATCATTCTTGCCACTTGCTGAAGCAGTTCTTAATGTTCTTTCTGTGTCTTCAGAGATGTGATAAAAAAATACAGTGAATGCAGCTGCTGAGTGCCATCCAATGCAGCTCATAAATACATGATGGCATGTCCTCATCCACTTTAACCACTGGATCTGGCACTGTGCAACTCTGGCTCTTCCCCAAAATCACAATGACAATGGAAGGTTTTG